TGGTCACCGGCTACCATGGGACTGCATCTCCTTACGATGCTCCACTGCCTTGTGGACCAGACCTTCAGGTCGAAGGCTCGGGGTGTGGCCCCTAAGATAAACACCTGCTTCGGTCTGGGCACCCGGGCAGTCTCACAGCCCTTACACATATCGAATGAGATTTGTGTGGCGCATATGTATTTAGTGCTTCCTTGTACCAATATCTATGTGTTAAAATAATAATAATTTGATCATAGATGCCTTCGAAGGATTGTTCACCTGTTTGAGTCAAAAGGTAAGATGCTGAGATTGGATATAGGGCACTGGGTAAAAATGTCAAATCGGTTGATAAGGTAATGAATCTTCGTTGATTGAGGTGGTCAAGATTGCGTACCTGGACGCGCGATACTTGCTGTAGTAGAAGCGAGTTTGAAAAAGCTAGTGTCTAGACCAGGACGTGAATCTGGTCTATGAAAACACTATCTTACTGAACATTGTAGGGAGGTGCAAACTATCAGGTTGAGGTCTGTCCGCTTATTGTAACAAATAATTGAAGACGCTTAGTGACATGATCCGAAGTTATAAAATTATTTTTTACCCTTTGTTCTTCCACTCATCCTTAGCCATATTTTCTATACCCAGTGTTTTTTCTGTCACTGATACTTTTAATTATCAGTCAGTCAGTCAGTCAGTCAGTCAGTCAGTCAGTAACAACGTAGAACTTCGTACGTACGTACATCAGTTCGAGTTGCCACACCACATTAGCACAGAGATGCAGTTGTCGATTCAAATCCCGTAGTGGTAGAGGTATAAGAGTATAAGCAGTAATCGGGAAGATTAGGGTTTGGAGATGTTATTTAAAGAGTATAATCCAGTGAAATAAATTTGGAAAGAGGAAAAAAGGGACATGAAGGATTCAGAAGATTAGAATTTGGGAGAACACAGAGAGTGGATGCACCTGCGCCATTGCAAACGATTTTGAGCCATGTCATTCAGGGTCTCTAACCATCGGTTGCTATCATCTCGCGGTCCCCAACCAGGTAGTCTACACCTACCAACATGACTCAGTTCACTTGTCAGTGACTTCATGGACTTGTGCCATGTTTTGGTTTGGCCGCCCCTAGCTTTCTTCCAACCTACTCCTATACCACTGAACATAGCACGTCGAGGCAGTCGGTCGTTGGGCATACGTAACACGTGTCCCAGCCATCTCAACTGATGAAGTTTCACTACTTCATCAATTGATTTGCCATCCTTACCTAGTACCCGTTTCCTAACAACTGTGTTACTTACTCGATGGTCCCATGATATACGAGCAATATTTCGAAGACACCTATGATCAAATACTAGTAACCTACGAATATCCTCTACTCTTACCGGCCATGTTTCACTGCCATAAAGTAGGACGGAACGAACTGCTGCGCAGTAAACACGTCCTTTGGTTGATAGACGGATATCTCGCCTACGCCATAAATGACGCAAGTTGGCAAAAGCTAGTCGAGCCTTCTGTATCCGTGCTGAGATTTCGTCACACACTAAACCACAAGGGCTGATGAGACTTCCAAGATAAGTGAAGCGGTCGACACACTCAACTACTTCACTCCCTATCACTAGTTCGGGTGTCGATGTAACCCAATCCTGAAGCAACATTTTGCATTTCGAGGGAGAGAATCGCATCCCGAACATGCTTGCATTGTTGCTTAGAGTGGTCAGAAGACTCTGCATTTTGTCAGCGTCTTCACCAAATAAAACTATGTCATCAGCATATTCTAAGTCAACAAGTGAACCTCCTGGTAGAAGTTCAACCCCTGGAAATTTAGATGAGGAGAGTGTTATCTCTAAAAGTACGTCGACCACAAAGTTGAACAAGAATGGGGAGAGTGGACAGCCCTGACGAACACCACTTGAGGTAATCAATTCTGATGACAGTTCGCCATAAGCTCTCACTCTACCAGTTGTGTTCGAGTAGAGAGCCTTTATAAGGTTAATGTACTTCTTTGGTACTCCTTTCAGTGACAAACACTGCCATAGAACCTCACGATCAACAGAGTCGAATGCCGCCTTAAGGTCGAGAAATACTACCATTGTGGGGCGTCTGAATGTGTGTCTGTGTTCTAGAACCTGACGTAGTGTGAATATCTGATCTATACAACCACGTCCAGGTCGAAAACCGGCCTGGTTTTCTCTAATCTGCTCTTCACGAGCTTTGATTAGGCGTCGAAGTATTATTGAAGCTAATATTTTAGACACTATATTAGTCAAACTGATTCCTCTGTGATTGTCACAAGAGGACTTTTGTCCTTTCTTATAGACTGGCACAATCAGTGATTGAGACCAGTCAGATGGGATTACGTCCAGTTCCCAAATTCTACCTAAGACCTCAGTTAATCTCATTGCTAATACTGGACCACCATCCTTAAAAATCTCAGGAGTAAACCTGTCAGGGCCTGCTGCTCTCCCTCGTTTCAGATTTCCTATGGCTTTTTCAACTTCGTAAAGGGACGGAGGACCTACATTAACTTGCCATTCAGGTTGACTAGAGATCGTGGGAAACCGAAGTGTGGCTGAAGGCCAGTTGAACTGATCCCTAAAGTGTTCTGCCCATCGATCCAATCTCCTGGATTGAGAATGAATAATATGTCCATCTTTCTCTGAGATTGTTTCGCTAACGGTCGGGTTCCTAATTCCGGTTTCCTTAACGAGTCTGAACAATTGTCTGCTATTACCTATTGCCGCTGCCTTTTCCATCTCTCTTGCTTTCGCTACCCACCACTGTTCGCGATCATTGCGTAGACTTCTTGTCAGCTTGCGCTTAAGCTGACTCCGCTCTTCATTATGTTCAGAGCCAGGTGGAATGAGTTTCCGAGCATCTATCAGTGCGATAGATGCTGCTGAGATCCAGTGTTGCTCCCTAACCTTCTGGTTTACCTTACTAGCAGATATCACTGCTGTTTCCACAGCTTTTCGGATATCATTCCATGCTGCATCGGGGTGGGCATCACATACATGGCTGCCTAACTGTTTTCCTAGTTGTTCCTGAAATATACTCTTAGCTTGACTATCATTAAGTAGGCCCTAAGAGGTTTCCTTGCAGCGTCTTTCCTACGTCCAGTAAGACGCAAGCAAATACGCGCTCGCACTAGAGCATGATCTGAATCTAGGCATGTGCTCCAGAATGAGCGACAGTCTTCTATCGAGCCCCTCCATCGGTGGCTGATAGCGATGTGATCTATTTGGGTCCAACGTTGGGACGAATTAGGGGGTCGCCATGTTAAAAGATGTTTTTCCTTATGCTTAAAGTTAGTATTTGCAAGGAACAGGCGGTTATCTGAGCATAGCTGCAACAGACGGTCGCCATTATCTGTTCTTTGAGCCACGACACCATAAGATCCACCTAGGTGTCTTTCCCTATCGCTTAGTTTACCTACTTGAGCATTAAAGTCACCGGCCACTATTACTACATCCGAGCGCCTAGCTTTTCGGAGAAGGTCCGAAAGCTTTCTGTAAAACTCATCTTTTACATCATCTGAGCTGCAGTCAGTGGGAGAATAGGCAGAGACGACGAAGAGGCAACGACGAGTGTCCCTATCTTTCCGGATTCTTACTGTTCCGTTCAGTCGGACAGCGCACAAACGACTGTCTACTGGGATCCACTCTAAGAGAGCTAGTTCTGCCCTAGGACTCAATGCTATACCTACGCCGGCGAGGCCACGGGAAGCAGAATCAGGGCTTCCAGATACACGAAGCGTAAATCGAGTCGGTTCTTTATTTTGGCATGGTGAGGTCAAATGAATGACGCTACTTGGATCCTGTATGCGCGTTTCGGAGACGCAGCACACATCGATGGCGCGAGATTCTAAAGTTTTAGCTAAGGAAGCCTGCTGTCCTATTTGGCAAAGTGTTCGTACGTTAAAAGCTCCTACGTGTAGTTTAGAGCGTGGTTTCAGGAGACCAGGAATGGCGTTCCACGTACTCGAATCGTTTGCCCTAGCGGTGCGAGGTGATAAAGAGACGTGAGGAGGGTTAGTCATGGAGATAAGAGAGGTATTAGGAGGTGTAGGAAGGATTTGAATGTGACCACCTTGGTCTCTTGTGCTGTTACGGGTATGAGGGCTGATGTCACTTCCCGGCTGCCCACACCGTGGAAGGGTATTTCTTGAGGAACCTGAAAAGGAAATTGGATTAGTGTTGGTCTTGACGACCTGGGAGCGTGACCGCAGAGCCCAAGGGACAACTGCTTGAGGCCGGTCGCGCACGGCCTTTTTGTGGAAGGTTTTTGACGTGTTAGCTCCGTTCTTCAAAGGGCCTTACCGCCGGAGACGGAAATCCGTGAGGTAAGGTGAGGTGTGACATTTTTAGGGTCGACCTTTTCTAACCCCACCCCTCCTTGTGGGAAGGCAGCATCGCTGTCATGCTGGTTGTCCGAAGGAAACACCTTACTGCTGTCACACCCCTCTACAGTCAGCAGTACGACTTCGCCCTCAGACCTTGAGTTGCTGCTTTTAGTCTTACCGTTCACCAATCGACCTGCCTGGCATGGTAGAACCTACAGGAACATATGTTCCAGCCAATATAGCTCGGTTGGGTCATCACGATAGGCAAGCCCGACCACCGCGTCAAGGTAGCAGCTTCGATCGGGCTTTTAATTATACTACCTTGGTATTCATCTTGGTAATTTCGTCTCGTAATGATGTGATGTTGAAACTTGCACCGATAGAAATTTGTGTCAGGTTTTACGATACTTGTGACTAACAGGGGATTTGAAGTCTTTGGGCCATGATTCATATTTATCGTATGAGTACTATTACAAGTGTCTAGTTGTCAAAATCTTGTTAAGCACGTTCAGGTATGATAAGCATAACGTTAGTTGGGCACTATTGAAAACTGTTAAACCGTACCTGGATATTTAAGTTCTGTAACATTTGCAAGAAACAGTTTATTGTATTTGGTTTTCTTCATTTTATAGGTTTACGTACCGTATCAAACAATGAAATTTTAAGAATGTATCAAAGTAAACTAGAATGACGCGCATTTGTTGTACATTTTGTGATATGTGCTTCGGAAAACCATCTCGACTTGAGGCACATCTGAGAATCCACACTGGAGAGGTAAAACGTATTTCAAGTTACTTTTAAATAACGAGACCACTACTTATTGATTCTTTTCCAAAATGTTTTTACCCGGTTTCAAACATTTTTTTTAACCCTAAGTGATTGACGGCTGTTGAGATTAAAGCTATGGTAATACAGTTTAGTAAAGAAGTAGTTTAAAGCACTAAGCTTTGTGCTACATTTTTCGTCTCTGATTAGAGGTACCACCTAGTTTAGTGATATGAAACCGGCTTTAAGATTCGCCCAGGTTGGTTAGTTATTAACACTTGTTACAATCTTAAACAATCTAACAGATTTTCTTATTATATCCTGTGCGTCATATCTGTACTATCAGTTAACCAGGGTTGTAATATATTTTATCCATCATATATTGAGAGTTCGTCGGCAGATATTCCTGTCATATATGGTAAATTTTGTCTTAAGATCTGGTCTTTAAGCTAGATACTTATTTACATTTCGACTACTTTTAGGACTACCAAATCATCGACCCATAGTGAAAACTAGTTCTTGTCTCGCTCTGTACGAGTCCGCATTAATTCTCAGAAATGCTTAATTCATAAAACCCTATTAGAAATGTACATAAAACTCTTCATAACAACATATGTATTCCATCCATTGAATATACGGTCTGAGTTCATGGAAATTTTGTATAATAAAACCCGGAATACATCAGTTTTATTCCCTTCAGTATATTCTTAATTTACTGAAATGAGTCTGTCTCATCTCCGTCCTCAACATCCATGAAACTCTTCAGAAGTTAGGCTCTTTAGCTTCCTCGTTTCAAGTTTTTCTAGAATGGTTTGTTCCAACGGTGTTCCTAAATGCAGTTCAACGATGACCTTGTAGATAGTAAATTGGCAATTTAAGAGGGCTAAGGACCTGAAAAATTCCATATTCTCATCAACTGAAGAGCTTGATGATCATCTGGACGTCGTTGTAGTCATCATGGCTCCTACGGAAACTCTTAGTCCACTTGAAACAAGTTTTATTGATTGTTATCCCGTAAACCTCTTGATATTTCATTGCTTTCCTGATGGTTTTTCCCAAGTTCCAACATTTCAGATAAGTTCACGTATTTAGTCAGCGGAGTAGTTACACTTACATATCTTAACACTTGTAAATTTTTCTTTCTAATTTGATGCTAAGATATGTCAAAAATACTAGCTGACAGATTTATTAATCTGGCATTGTTGTGTAATTGGTTTACTGAGCAATTGCCTCGTTTTATCAGTACACCTATAGGAATTTACTGTGCTTTCGACTATTACTAAAAATTGCTGTTATTGAGTCTTATCCCTCGATGTGTCTGTACGAGATTTCTAGGTGATATCGGCTTGTTTTCTTATTACCTTGGTAGACCTATGACTTGTTCTTAATGAATATGTTTTCGTGATATCCCAATGAGTAGAAAATTGTATTTCTGACGTTTCGCGACTTAATGTAAGCCACTTGTTTCAGAGTAAATAAAGTGACTTGTTCATTTAAATCTTCAACTGCTAACTTCTGGATAATAGGTCCAAATCTTACTCCTCGGAAGAATAATACCGCTTATTAGTAATCTCGGTTTTCTCCACACAGTTTATGTAGCTTATCCTAGTGTGCTTTTTCATGGTTGCTAATAATCGGTTTTTGTGAATTGGAGCTGTTTTAAAAAGAAATATGTCTACCTTCATTTTTCTTAATTTAACTGTTAAAAAACAGGTAAATGTACCCTAACTCTGCATTGAACAATAATCTAGGATTTATCTGATGTTAGTCGGCTCTCCCTCTCTAAACGCTCTCACATGGCCACGCGTATACAGCCACTGCCAGGGTAGTCCTACTCACCGCCTTCTCACAGCGGGGATGTTTACGAAATTGAGAGGACGAAAAGCGAATATCCGGCACTTTAACCGAGTTGGTGGATATAGAGGATCCACCTAGGTGAGTTGGAAAACCCTGATTCCAAATCAGTGGTGCACATGGACCCCAGTTTCCTGAGGGAGCAAGTGGAGTATGAACCAATTATTGGTCACCGGATACCATGGGATTGCATCTCCTGACGTTACTCCACTGCCTCACGGATCAGATCTTTTGGTCGAGGACTCCGAGTGTGGCCCAGTAAGAAAACCACCTGCTTCAGTTTGGGAACCCGGGTAGTATCACAGCTTACACACACATTAAGTGACTTGTGTAGTGCATATGTATTCGGTGCCCTTTTGTACTAATATTTATATGTTCAAATAAATAAATAAGTTAATATCACTTTGCATATGCTAAGAATTTTTTCGATTTTATGTCTAATCAAGCTTGCTTTGTATGTTATGCAGTTAGATTACAATAAATTAAACTCCCTGTTGGTAAAAATCAAATTATATTTTCTGAGCTTTGTGACGAATCGCACAGTGTCAATCAATAACAATAATTCCGCCAGTTTTTCTTATGCTGAATGTCTGTTTAGTTTTTAAAATAACTAGTCTAGTTGACTTCCGAAATAGGAAAGTAATTAATACTGTTTAAACTAGATTTTCGTGCCCACTCATGATAATTCTACAGGTCATTTATAACTTTGTGAGTAGTTGATGGTTAAACTGTTCAGCCTTTATCCATTTGGTCCTGTTTTACCTATTTCTGTTTGGACATTCGTGTTGTATAATAACAAACAATAATTAATACATGTCGCGTTACGGCGACGAAATTCCCAATATACATCGGTGTGTGTGTTGGCGAAACCTGTGAAATGACTCAGTTCAAGTCTTGTTCAGCATAGCATTCGTAAAGTTAACAAATCCATCTTTTCTCATTGTTCACTCCACTGCTAGCGTCCATATGTGTGTATTTGTGGTAAAAACTATACACGGAAACAACATTTAACTCGTCACGCTTCAAAATGTCCCAAAACTATTCCAGAAAACAACTTATCTAATCAAAAGGAGCCAGTAAGAGTCGAAAAAACCTATTCGTGTTCACAATGTTCTGCTGGACCTTTTCAAAAAAAGAAAATGGTATCGGCTCATATGGCTGTAGTTCATGGGTAGGTGCTACCATTTTTGTTTTGTTACTACTGTTTGTAAAAAGTTCATCTTACGTTTATGTATGACCCTTATTCTTTTCTTATTTAAATGGTCTTCAACCACTGGATCAAAAATTAGTTTTCATTACCTACGTCAGTTTCAGGGGCTATACAGAAGTACCAATTGAATGAACTAAAGTGTCATGATTCACTCCTTCATGCACATTTAAGTATTCGGTTGCTAACAGTGTACTAACTTAGTTTGTTCCGTTTTATGTTTGCATGTAGTCGTGGTGAGACTATACTCAACCATTTAATATCCATGAGTACAATTAATACTATTTCATTCGCAGAAAATGAGTGTAACTGTATGATTCGCTGCTTTTCTTTTCACTTGTATGCCTGTAGTGGATTATATTCGGGATAATTTCTACTACTTCGTATATCACTCATCCTGTTAACCGTTATTAGATAGCTCTCATCGGTGTATAAATTTCAAGAGACAATACGAGGCATTGAATACAGTCCATTGATGTTCAATGCAGATCACAAGAGAATGAGTCGTCGAGCGATTTAACGTCGTGAGAAGGATATGCATACAGGCTGTAAAATGTGATCAAGCATTGATGTTCATACAGACATGATGATTATTTTGAAAAGGTATAAATGAATTATTACTGTTGGGATGACACTGTCAAACATGTTAATTGAAGGGCTTAACAAAATTGAACTGAAGTGTAGATAAGGTGCTATATTTTATCGGGCAGTCTTAGGTACACTCCTTTTATCAGAGAAACTTTTCTGGAAAAAATGTATTCAGTTGGTCCTAAAATATCTGTAAAAATGTACCACTGAGTCTGTGCGGTTAAATTTTTCTGTATAACATATTTTCAGTAAAGTGGATCAAATGTTTAAGCTAAAGACTATTATTTTTCTCCAATGGAGGCATTCTTTTAGTAGCAATTGTAAACTTTTAACTAATAACGTTAATAATAAATCTATTTTCTATTATATTCATGTGAGTAGATATAACCGAATTCAGTTAGTTATTTACTCTGGAAAAGTGGCTAACATTAAGTCACGAAAAGTCAGAAGCCAACTCCATTTAGTCAAGCGTTAATCAATATTCATAGTTACACAAAAATAGGCTACAGACATGTGGTGAATAGGATACGAAGTGTACACACACATATGCGCTCATATAAAAGCAGTCAAGATTGATAAGTGAATAAATAACAAGGTGAGAATGCGACTCAAGTAGAATGAGTAGATTGACCTGTCTGAAAGCTAGAATAAAGTATATGGACTTAACATAATAACCGACGCTACAGGGAGTCGTGAGTTCGACAGATCCCAGTCCTGTACTGCTATCTTCCATATCACGACATCATATCATAAACGGGCCACCTCTTCTTTTTACAACGTGTCCTAGTGTCTGTAATTAATTAACGATGTAGGATTCTCTGGGATGTCATGGGGAGTGTCTCTGGTGTCACCTCATCATAAATGCTCATTTTGATTTGTGATTCTTTTAAATGTCGTTTGATGAATTCCGTTGTAAGCTCCCAAATTATCGTGCAAATTAGATCGCTATTGTTGATTAGTAGAGTGGTTGTAAACCTAGTTGAAGCTTTTCAAACTCCATCTTAGAAAGTTGACGGTGAGGAATTTTTGTAGTTTAATTATCACTATTATAGGTCCGACTTGAATTGAACTGAGCTGTCGTCTAAAAGAGTAGGTGTTCAGGCAGAAAGTAATTGGGTATGTTTCACCAAAGACGAGCCGCTGTATAAGTATAAAAGACGGTCACCATTGATTGATCACTGGGTGGTGATCGATGTCATGCTTGTCTAGTCCTTATTAGTGCAGATCGAATGCTATCGATCATGTTGCAATGTGGCCACCAGTCTAGGTGACTCGATACTGCGGGCACTATGTATTGAGATTTAGATGGAGGTTGGAGGTTTCCTGTTGACTACCTCCAACCACCATCTAAATATAAAAGAGGGTGAATAATGTGGTAAGTAATAATAATAGTAATCATTTAAATCACTTGGTTGTTAGTTGAAGCAAGTAAAGTAGTTTCCATAATTATAGGCAGTTCATCATATTTGTGTGTGGGCTGTGATACTGCCCGGGTGCCCAGACCGAAGCGGGTGGTTATCTTAGGGGGCCACACCCCGAGCCTTCGACCTGAAGGTCTGGTCCACAAGGCAGTGGAGCATCGTAAGGAGATGCAGTCCCATGGTAGCCGGTGACCAACGATTGGTTCATACGCCATTTGTTCCCGCAGGATACTGAAGCCCATGTGCACCATTGGTTTGGGATCCGGTTAAAGCACCGGACATTCGCTTTTCGCCCTGTCATTTTCGTAAACAACACCCCCGCCACGAGAATGCAGTGAGTAGGACTTCCCTGACAGAGGCTGTATACGCGTGGCCATGTGAGAGCATTTCGAGAGGGAGAGCGGACTCTCCCCACTCTCGGCCGTACCAGGGCATTTGGGGGCATCCTAACCGTTGTAGTTGATATGCACACTTATAAGAGAATCAATTGATTTGTGATACTGTCAATCATCTTATCCAGGAAGTGGGAAACCTAATATGAAGTTTCTTAATAAAACTATATATATAATCTATTTTACATTAATACATTATTCAAGCGAACGGAAGCATGTATGTGACAAATGTGATCGAGCGTTTCCTACGGCATCTAAGCTTAAACGTCATTCATCAAAACATCATGGTTACACATGTAAGCTGTGCTCTGAACAACTATGTGAAAACCCTGAAGACGAAGAATCAGTTGCTCTCAAACCCATTCATTTTGAAAGTTTTGCGTGTTTGAGACGCCATATTGCTGAAGCTCACCCCAAAACACGTAAGTTACTTGAACCTTTGTGCGTTTATTTACTTCACGAGGTTTGTTGCTTATTACTTTGATAAAATATATTTATGTTTCCTCAAAACACTAGTGTTAATATCATAGTTTACTTCTAATTAGCTACTCTTATATATTTTTCTTCTTGTTCAACTGTTTTGATTTTGCTTTCTCTCTAAGGTTGTGTTATAATTTCTCTTATTACAACCCGGCTATTCCTATTGCTTAGTATTCTCAGACACCAATTCACTCGAAAAGTCCCCAAGTCAGAACACGGTTGAACAGGAATGAAATTATATTCCAAATAACAAGGATAGATGGAAGTAGGAATGGCAAGAAGAAAAACGTCAGTGTATTTATAGTTTTTACACGAGAAGATTCTAGGGTCTTCTTCAAGTCTCCGCTAGCACTGAAGGGCTGGGAAATAACCAATCAATGTGTCCGATCGCAATCTTGCACGGAACGTCCTTTAATCCAATCTATAGCCTGCCAACAAAGGTCATGTAAAAGCCATATATGGAGTGGTTACTTACTTCATGGCACCAAAGTTTCTTGCATAGTCCGAACTTCCCTCCTTTTAATTGTTGTTGTCGAAGTGTCTTTGAGTATTATTTGCTTGATGTCTCTGTATCTGCCCACTACGTAGAATCTCTTCAGTCGTGTAGATCTCAGTACAGTTAGTTTGTTAGCTATTAGTGACTGTGATGAAATGGGCAGTGAATACGGTTGTCTCTCCCTAATAGTTTGCATGTTACTGAGCGCCGGGAACATAAATGACAACATCTGAAATCTAGTTAGGAAGAATTATTTTTTAACGAAAAAATTATTTATGTCCATTTTTAATCAACTAAGTATTTACCATTTTTGAGGAGATTACAAGGTCACCTGAGATTGGCGAACAGAACGAAGGATCAGTTACACAATAACAAGACAGCTAAAATATTCCAATGCGTCTCAGCCCCTCTAACTAGAGAGATAAGCCAAAAGCACGAACAACAAGCACACAACTCAAGCGTACACATACAGCATATAAATGTCCTTGGGAAACGTTATAAAGTAGCTTATTAAAAGAGCAACCAACTAATGACATTTAAGGTCCAGTCAGGTGGAAAATGTAAGCTGGAGGTAAAAATGGGCGCTTTTGGCGCGAAAACGAGAAATTCAGATCTTCAAAATAAAATTACAAAACTACGAAATCAACCGAGTCATTTCTGGGGATCTAGCATCCCCATCAGCATTGAAGTAAGAAAAAAGTGTTTGAATGATTGCATCAACAATTTATTGAACTATCTGGTGGGATTATTAAAAAAACTTGTCAGTATAAAGCAATCTAATCAGTCCGTAGCGTAAAATTTGGGAAAAAGAACAAGTGCTACTGACAAACTGGAATGAAGGATACCTCATCAAGATGCGAAAGAAAGATCTGAGCGAATATGAGAACTCAGCTACAGTGACATCACACTACTTTCAGTACCAGGAAAAGTTTTCAACAGTGTTGCTGAACCGCACGAAAGATTCATTAGAATCCCAACTTCGAGATCAACAGGCTGAATTCCATAGGGACCGGTCATACACAGACCAAATCGCGACACTACGGATCATCGTTGAGCAATCCATTGAATGGAACTCGTCACCATACATCAACTTCCTTAACTATGAGAAAGCGTTTGACAGTGTGAATAGGAGATTCTTATGGAACCTTCTTTGACACTATGGTGTGAGCAGCTGGAAAGATCGTTAACATCATCTGGGATTCATACCACAGACTACAGTGCAAAGTAGTGCATGGGGTACGCTGAAACGCATTCCAAGTGAGGACCGATGTCACACAAGACTGCTTGCTATCACATTTCTCTTTCTTCTGGTTATTGACTAGATTATGAAGATCTCCATATCTGCGGGGAAGAACGGATTACTATAAACAGCTTGGACGTAACTAGATGATTTGGACTTCATAGTCGACCTTTCCCTTCTATCCCATACACACGAAGAAATGCAGATGAAGACAACTAGTGTAGCAGCAACCTCTGAATCAGTAGGCCTCAACGTACACAAAGGAAAAAGCAAGATCCTCAAATACAACACGGACAACACCAACCCAATCACACTTGATGGAGAAACTCTGGAAGATGTGGGAACTTTCACGTACGTGGGAAGTATCATCGATGAACTTGGAGGATCCGATGTAGATTTGAAGGCGAGGATTGGCAAAGCAAGGGCCGCATTCCCATAATTGAAGAACATATGAAACTGAAAACAACTGTCTCCAAGCCACCATCAAAATCAGAATCTTCAATGTGGACGTCAGGACATTCACTGTACGGACCTGAATTGTGGAGAACTGTCACAACCATAATCGAAAATGTACAAGTATTTCTAAACAGTTATCTACACAAGATGCTGAATGTCCGTTGATCGGATACCATCAGCAACAGCCTATTGCGGGAGAGAACAAATCAGCTTCGAGTGGAAGAGGAAATTAGGAAGAGAAGTTGGAAGTGGATAGGACATACATTGCGGATTCTACTTTTTTCCGACTCAATATCAAATTAAATTAACAAAAATAAGGAAAAATCATGTACTGTAGATAATGGATGTCGTACATATATCACATTGAATTACAATATGATTTGGCGCTTGATCTTATGCCAACTAATGTCAACTTTGAAAATGGAACAGGTTTATTTCAGAAATGATAGCTTATTAAAAGAATGCCGACACCTTTTCTAGTGCGACATTTTTTAAATAGTTGATTGTTTGTATTCATCTCACATCGCAGTTTACCTTACTTTTCCGTTACATAATCTCTTTTTAAGAAATGCAATTTACCTAATCATTAAACACTGGTGTAGGAATTTTAGTTAACTGCACTTAATTAGAATTCTTAAGGAAATTTATTTGAGGAGTCTCACAATAGAACGAAACGGCCGTCCAGAGCTTCCAGGTTTCCAACGGCGGTCTAACATCAATCGGTTCATGATTTCAATCAAAACTTAATAATCTCCACAACCCCTATACTGATATATAAATGTAATTCATTTGTTAAGTGTAGATTTATGTAGTTTGATTTGAACCATCCTACATGTTTAGGGTCTACTGACACTTTTATTCTGGTTAGCGTTTGTTTAGCAAGGTTGTTTTCTACTGTGTGGGGTTGGTGACTCCATACTCAACTCTCCTCTTTTGTATGGGCTTGTTACCAGCAGTAACCCTAGAATAGCTACAGACAGACTTAAATTTTCTAAATTGATTTTTATGCTGATATTACTACCCATCTATCCAAATCGAAGTAGGTACAGTGGCACTCAAACCTTGAACTTACTGGTTGAAAGCTGTGTACTTTAGTCATCAAAATTAGCAAAACATGTAAATTAAGGATAACTTCAGACGATTTAGACTAAAAATAATGAATTTATTAGTATGTACAATTAGCCGTTACTACTATCGTTACTTCAACTGTATCTGTTCTTATTACATGACCATTTTTTCACAGCTTTGCAATGTCCTACTTGTAATATGCGTTTTACAAGACCTGCTGCACTAGCAGAACACAAATCTACACATACCCCTGGTGGACCGTCTGTAAGACGACGTTTTATTTGTCCTTTATGCTCACCTGATGTTACGGGTGATAAAGATAATTCCAACTCACAAGAAAAAGATTGTCTTGTTGCATTTACAGCCAAAAGAAATTTAGATGCTCATATGCGTTTAGTGCATGCTAACCTTAAGTTTCCATGTACTTGGCGTGGATGTCCTGTTCTTTTGTCTACCAAAGTAAGTAGACATCTAGTATATTTTTAGCAGTAACATGTGTTTGCCTATTAGCTTGATACATAGGAATATTTTAGTGACAAAATATATTGTCATACAAAATTATTATCTGTTAACATCTATTACTAAATCATATGTTATTTCATCAACTACTTGTCCTTTATTTTTATTTGTCTTGAGAACTGATTGGCTAGTGTGCCAAGATAGATACGTTCGGCGATAGGAATGTCAGTAAATATATGATACATAACTTTGTATTTGTATCTAACACTGTTTTTTACTGCCCTGGATTTCATTGAATGTTGTGCTGATTTTCACTTTGCTAATAAGACACTGTATGCCTCATGACTAGATCTCAGTCGTCTGTTGGATACTTTGTGACTTGAAGCACCATTTGATCTAGTTTTTGATCTTGTGTATTTTTTTGGTGATTCTATTAACTGTTTTATTCTACCAAGTCGTACTGTCTGCTGTCAATTATATGAATGTAAAATCCAGTTTATCGACGTTATAAAATATTTTATTTCTGAATTTTTCTGCAATATACCTTTAGTTTGTTCGCTTTATCAAGATTGAATAATACTGTGCATGTTTCTACGTATCTCAGAATATTTTTGAGTATTTACATTCCAAATTAACATCTATAGAAAATGAACACTAAGTCACCTTGATCCAGCGAACATCATTTTTTAATGTTAAATATTTGCAGCAACTCATCACCGTATGACTATAATTTAAAACCCGAAGACGTTTTTTGTCTGTCTACTGTGAGTCAGTATATACACAAAAATACGATTTTCATGATTCTAAGCATTGGGTGTTTTTTCTCACTATTTCTCATAGCTTTCAGTTGCTACGTATACAATAGAATGTGATTCATGATTGTGTAAATTCTCATTATTCACTAGTTGACTAAGTAAGATTCATATGTCTCTTTAGGACAACTGAGGTAATGTATACCTTCCTTCATTGGCAGTTTTTTTAGTGAGAATTAATAAATTTAAGAACTTGCTTCATTTATTAGTATTACACTGAGCTTTAATGATGGAGTTACGGACAGTCCTTCTGAACCATGTCATTAGGTGCGAACATCTTGTTTAGGCCGCATGAAATTCTTGTGGTCAGTTGATTGAAGATACTAGGTGTCATGACCCAAAATTGACAGCAGTAACAAAAATGGATCCACACATTACGATTCCCTAAATTTCAAGTTTCGCTATTTTTATACACCTTATATTTCGTAAGTGAATTTCTTGTAATCTCTGTACCTAGTCTTTCTTATGATTATTCATACCAATATGACATCTAATCATTTACCATTCATCGTGTCAGTTTTATCTTGATGTACTGGAAGAGTTTGGCAACTTGGATTAATTCAGGTCCACTCTAGTTCTTACTTTGGGATAACTGAATAACTATGAGAGAAAAATTGTTAGTTGAGATTCATCTTTACCGATGTCTTTTATTGTTTATGCAGTTGGTCAATCAATCAGTTGCTATAAATATGTCCAAAGACATTTAATATGATCGGAGTCCTTTTACAATATTAATATATGTATACTGAACACTCTGGTCTCAAATTAATAAAACTTTCAGAGCGATTTAATCATTTGATTGATGCACTTTTTTGCATTCTGAGTGCCATACTAAGGAATGCTTATTTTGAATTATCAACATACATTCAAATCACACGGATCGTATTTTCTTTTCACTTTCATTAAGATCTGATGCTTGTCATTTATCTTTTCATACAGTAAATATGTCTGTCGCTCATGTTATTTTAAAACTCTAATCTACCCATAGCAGATGTATAGTGTAGGTGAGTGTGGTTCGCAGTTGAATCAGGGATTCACGTTTCGTCCTAACTAGGATTCATCAGCTGGGTTTACTTACATCCTGGAGTGGACATCAACTCTGCAGTGCAGATACGTCCACCTGATGAATCTCATACACATAGTTCCCTTTATCATTTTGAAAGAGAAAAATAGCATGAATTCATTTTATTTCGTTGGTTCTCGTCAGCTGCTTACATCCTATGATATTTAAAATCATAATTACATAATAGGTTTAAATTACTTACACGATGAATCTCAAGTGGAACGAAGCGGGCGTCCTGGATTCAACTGCCAGCCATATTAATCTATTCTACATAAACTTGTGTCACAATGGCTATATCAATGCATTCCGCACAGTATGCTCGTTTAACTACTAGGACTGATGAAATTTCAGTCAAGCTGTTGACAGTGGTACAGTCCAGAAGCATTCTAAATTTAATATTTATATCTATCCGACTATATTACTTATGAGTAGCTGAAAATTTCCATCTCATTTTTCCTTCTTATTTTACATGAGAAGTCACTTTTGTATATTTCATGAACATAGTAAATATTCCATTCTATTTATTTAACCACTTTATTCCTTATTGGTTTTTTCTCTTAATGTTTAGCAAAAACTGAATGAACATATGGAACGTCATCGACTAGGCAAGTCAGTTGCTTTCAAAAGCGAAATAGACGTAATTCACGTAATGATTCAAGTAGAAAATTTAATGATAATAAAAATTTATCAGTGAATAATAATGAAGATTATTGGGAAACAGCTAGTCAAAATAGCATTATAGCACTGTTAAGTGATGTATTGATTGTTCAGCTAATCAAATTTATTAATTTTTTATGAAGTTAGTTTCATTATTGTATATAATATTATTTCGAACTGAATAGAACAAGAAGAAAGGAAAACAGATATGTAATTAAAAATTTACAGAGTATTTATATATTTTGTTTATATTTACATATATTTTCAAATTAACAAAGTATATCAAATGATATGGAAAATAATAATAAACATTTGTATTATACTACTTATTACAATCAATTTGTTATTTTTAGTAATTAGCTTATTAATTAAAAGAAAATCTAATTGTCATATGCTCACTAGTGATTAACTTCGTGAGGGAATTCTTGGAGTTCTAGTAAGAGGCCATGACCAGTGGAACTAATGAGTGTAGAGACAGGTATCTACTTCAGTACAATGGGAAATGGTCGTGGATTGGTAGAGGTTAGACATTAACACCGTTGGATTTCGGCTCAGTGGTCTGGTGGTTGGTCGTTCGCGTGGGAGACTGAAAACCTTGGATCTGAATCCCATGAAGGGGATCGCAGGTGCGCACTGCTGAGGAGTCCAAATATAGGTCGAAGCGGTCGTCCAGTGCTTCTAGGTTTTCAATGATGGTCTAACATCAATCGGTTCATGATCTCAATCAATAATTGTCAAAAGATGGCCTATACAAATTCAATGTAAAACTAAACAGATCTTTGTGTGTTAAATGTGTATTCAAAACTTTTTTTCATTTATTTATTTCAACACATAAACATTAGTACAAGGGTGCACCAATTGCATATGCGTCACATAATAACATTGAGGTTGTAGAGAAATGGAGAATGGAGGGTGAGTAACTATGAATATAAATTAAGGTGTTAGAGTGAAGTAATAATAACAATAATATTGATAGTGGGAGAAGCAGTTCAGTTAGGAAAAATACATCCACTTTTATGAGGAAAGTAAAAGTACAACAGAATCACTACTGATTTTTATTATGAACCATGTCCAATATTTATTTATTTATTTATTTGAACACATGAATATTGGTACAAGAGAGCGCCAATATATATGCGCCACACAAAACAATGAGAATTCGAAGAGAATTCGAAAAAAAAAACTAAGGAGCGCAAAAGAAAAAGAGAACAATGACGAAGAGATTGGTGTAAGGTAGTGTGGTAGTAACGACGGAACGAAAAGGTACAATCAGAAGAAATCTTTCAGGTAAAGGAGACACAACCACTTTTTATGAAGAAAGTAAAAGAAGGTTACAGCAGGATCGCCACTGGCTTCTATTCTGAGCCATATCTGATAACGTCTCTAGCCACTGTGTAGCACCATCTCTCAGACCCCAACCAGGGAGTCGTGAAGGACCAACACAAGCCAGTCCTTTGCAGCTTTCTTTCATGCCACGACACCATGTCATGCACTGACCACCTCTCCGCTTCTTCCAACCAGTCCCAGAGTCGGCAAATAATGCACGACGTGGAATTCTCTGGGACGACATTCGGAGAACATGTCCAAGCCACCGAAGTCGGTGTTTCAAGATGGTGACACCAATTGATTATCATCTCTGTGCCCGAACACACGATGCCGAACCTCTGCATTACTGACATGGTGTTGCCACTGAATGTCAGCAATCCTTCGGAGACAGCGATGATCGAACACAGAGAGTCGTCTAACGTCCTCAACTCGGAGAGGCCAGGTTTCACAAGCATAGAGCAAAACTGCTCTCACCGACGCGTTGTAGATCCGACCTTTTACAGCCAGACTAACATCACGAAGGCGCCAAAGGTGGCCCAGATTGGCATAAGCCGCTCTGGCTTTCACTATTCGTGCATTGATCTCATCACTCACACCCCCACCAGCACTTATGCAGCTACCCAGATACACGAACTTCTCAACTACGTCTATCTGCTCACCATCCAGGGTGAGTACAGGATTAGAATCCTGCCAGTCTTGTAGAAGTACTTTGCACTTCGAAGGTGCAAAGCACATACCATACCTACGGACACTGATTGCCAACTGATTAAGTGCGGATTGCATGCCTTGGGCATTATCGCACAGTAAGACAATATCGTCCGCATACTCAAGGTCGAGAAGTCTTTCTCCAGGCAACAGATCCACACCACCATTACTTACATTCATCAGAGCTGTTTCCAGAATGTCATCGATGGCAAAGTTGAAGAGGAATGGTGAGATTGGGCAACCCTGCCTAACCCCACTGCTCGAATGGAACAATGGAGAGAGGTGGTTGTATGCCCTCACTCTGCCTGAGGTGTTTTTATATAGGGCTTTTAGGATGTTAATAAACTTCTCAGGCACACCCTTCTTCAATAGACAATCCCAGAGAACAGTCCTGTCCAACGAATCGAAGGCAGCCCTGATGTCAAGAAACACTACGATTGTTGGCCTTTGAAAGTATGGCGGTGTTCTAACATTTGGCGGAGGGTGAAGATATGATCAATACATCCTCGACCAGAACGAAACCCAGCCTGCTCCTCGCGAGTCAATCTTTCTCGGGTTTTGAACAACCTACGAAGAATGACGGAAGCCAATAGCTTGGACGCAATCGGAAGTAAACTTATCCCCCGATAGTTGTTACAGAACGACGTGAACCCTTTTTAAAGATAGGGACAACTATCGACTCATTCCATGACGTTGGTACACACTCTAGTTCCCAAACCTTTGTAAACAACGTCGTCAATTCCTTAGTCAAAAAGTCACCACCATCTTTAAAAAGAGCCGGAGGTAAGTCATCTGGGCCAGGTGATTTGTAACGCTTCAAGAGTTGGAGTTCCTTGCGGACTTCCTCCTCATTTGGTGGATCAGTCGTCACCGGCCATGGAGGGCAGGACAGTCTGACCGATGTTGCCGGAGCAGCAGGCCAGTTGAACTGCCCTTCGAAAAATTCTGCCCATCGTCCAAGACGTCGATGGATGTTAGTGATTGGCATCCCATCATCCTCGCAGATTGTTTCACTCACACCAGACTTCTTGCTGCCAGTGGCTCGGATGAGCTGGAAGAGCTTCCGGTAGTTACCAGATGCAGCTGCTGCTTCCAGCTCATTAGCACGCATCGACCACCAGGCTTCTCGGTCCTTACGCAAGCTTTGCCCAATTTCCTTACGTAACATCCTTCGTTTATGGTCAAACTCACGGTCACCCGGAGTAGACCGACGGGCTTCAATGAGTTGTAAGGAACCAGAAGAAACCCAGTGCTTAAAGCGGGACGTTTCGCAAACCCACAACTGACTGTTCCCGCCATTTTCATGGCGTCATGCAATTGCAACCAATGCTCATCTATACTTTTCGGTGGAGTGGTAGCTAGCCTAGAGGCTAGCTCGGTTCGATACTTACTTGCAACAGAAGTTGCAACCAGCTTGCTAACATCAATCCGTTGATGGGGTCACTTCGTTGTCCACTGAAAAGTAAGGCAAGATTGGCGCAGACCAAGGCATGGTCAGAGTCCAGATAGGTACTCCAAAAGGAGCGGCAGTCTTGTACACAACCACGCCAGCGGTAGCTGATCGCGATGTGATCAATCTGAGTCCAGGCTTGAGATGCAGAGGGAGGACGCCAGGTGGCACATCGGCGATGACTGTGCCGAAAGTTAGTGCTAGCCAGAAACAGGTTGTGGTCTGTGCAAAGTTGCAGTAGACGGTCCCCGTTATCTGACCTGCGACCAACGAGTCCCCATCGGCCACCTAAACGACTCTCTTCTGTGCCTAGACGCCCGACCTGAGCATTCAAGTCTCCGGCTAGTACTACAATATCTGTCGAACGCACTTTCTGGAGAAGAACTGATAACTGGTGGTAAAACTCATCCTTGATTGCATCCGGGCTGCAATCTGTCGGGGCATAGGCGGAGATGACGAAAAGACATCGTTTCTCACGCCGATTTCTTCTCACTTTGATGGAACTTTCTAATCTAACAGCACATAACCGACTGTTAATGGGGATCCAATCGACTAGTGCTGCCTCAGCTCTAGCGCTTAGTGCGACACCAACGCCAGCAAGACCAGACGAAGATGCCACAGGGTCCCCGGATAAGCGCACGTAAAACAAGCTTTTCGAAGCGACAGATGGAGATCGAATTTGTAGTACTTCGCCAGAGTCTTGAATACGGGTCTCGGATAGACAACAAACATCGATATTAAGACTTTCCAAAGACATAGCCAGCCCTATCTGTTGTCCGACCTGCATAAATGTGCGAACGTTGAAGGCAGCCAGTTTGAATGGTGCACGTGGTTTCAGAAAATCTGCTTCAGTCCTCGTATTCGGTGGTAACATACAATTTTCAACCGGACAGTGACTCGAGAACGTTTAGATACAGTCGAATTTCCACCAAAGACGAGCCGCTGTATAAGTATAAAAGAGGGTGAATAATGTGGAAAATAATAATAATAATAATAATAATAATAATAATAATAATAATAATGACAATAATAGTAGTAATAATAATAATAGTATTAATAATGACAATAATTGTAATGATAATAATCTGAATCAATTGTTTGTTTTTCAAAGCGAGAAAGGTAATTTCCATAGGCATAAAGAGTTCATCAATTTGTGTGTGGGCTGTGATACTGCCCGGGTGCCCAAACCGAAGCAGGTGGTTATCTTAGGGGGCCACTCCCCGAGCCTTTGACCTAAAGGTCTAACCCACAAGGCAGTGGAGCATCGTAAGGAGATGCAGTCCCATGGTAGCCGGTGACCAACGATTGGTTCATACGCCATTCGTTCCCGCAGGATACTGGAGCCCATGTGCACCATTGATTTGGAATCCGGTTAAAGCGCCGGACATTCGCTTTTCGTCCTCTCATTTTCGTAAACAACACCCCCGCCACGAGAAGGCAATGAGTAGGACTTCCCTGGCAGAGGCTGTATACGCGTGGCCGTGTGAGAGTATTTCGAGAGGGAGAGCGGACTCTCCCCACTCTCGGCCGTACCAGGGCATTCAGGAGGCCAATAA